ATCAAATAGAAGAGGGAGACTTACCTAACTTGAAGCCACTTCAAATCCTACACTTCCTTGAGAAAATAGGATTGGAAGGGTCGCTATAGGCATTGAGACATTTCCTTAGTGCAGTGGCGACAGAAGGGGGCACAATAGATCTTTTAGGTCGCAGTGTATTAACACCCCATTGTCAACATAACATATTTATAAATCTTATCTTGAACCCTAATCACTTATCCATTACTTTTTGTCTCTTCGGTGGCATTTCTTCGTCGTTATATTCGACAAACCTTCCCGATTTTAGTAGATCTTCGAAATATTCAAGACCGTCACCGTCTTCGTATCCAATATTATTTTTAGTCTGAATTGGTCCTTCATCCACAATTTCATCTGAATCACTAACTTCCTCGTAGGTTTTTTCTTCCACATTGGTGTATTTTTCAGAAGCATTACAATTTGAGCATAAATTTGTGCATGTTTTCGGCAGCCACATTTTAAACTGTTATATTCAGTTTCACAGCTGCAGCAAATAGTTTTGAGCAATATTTCCGGAATTAACTCCTTCTCTGTAAATTTGGGCATAATCCCACGTTGATGTTGCTTCCAGCCTCAATCTGTTGCTGTCAGTTCGTTACCTAGCCAAGTTTGAAGTTGATAATATGCCCTGTAACAATGTTGTTCTGCTGCACCTTCTGTGGATGGGAGATTTGCCAATATGAAAGATGATTTAATTTTTGCCAATTGATATTTTTGAAATCTTAATTGATTCAGGGTTTTATTATCATTTTTACATTTATAAATAGATTTGATTAATTGTAATCCATTTTTTTCGATATCTTTTTTGTTTGCATCTTTTTTATAAAAAATATTGGCCAAGTTTGACATATTTTTATCGTCTAATAATGAATTTACAATACTCTTCTTTCCTTTTCTGGCAAATCCAGATGTTGTATCGCAACCAGAAAAACAATGCAGAAATGCAACGATATTTTTGAAGGATTCATATTTGAAATTATTAAACGTGAAAAATAGATCTTTTACATTTCCAGAACCTGGTTTGAGAAAATAAATGTCATGATTATTTGAAGTTAATTGATTCAAACGGACCAAAAGATCAATATCTTGACCCACAACAATGACAGTTTTATTGGTATCTCTGGCAATTTCTATCGAAGTTTTAATAATGTCTGCATCAGCATCTTCTTCTGCTTGTTTACAGGAAAATCTTTGTGACTGTAATCTTTTCATTAACGTTTTTATTATTTTGTCCTTGTTTTTCTCGTTAGATAAAAATTTTTCTTGCAGAAATGGTATTTTTGTATGATTTTGATAATCAAACTCTGGAATATTTTCTGAGGTTTTTCTACGACTACGTTCTCCTTTTTTAGTTGAAGTAGCTGCTGGTACTGTTGTCACAGTAACTGATTTTTTAATTTCGGGGTACCCATCAAAAACGATATAGCTGCTTGCTGCCTAATGTTTTTCTACATAGCGAAAATATTTATTCATGATCTCTTCCACCGTTTCATTTTTCTGCCAAATTACTTTGTGCCGTCAGAATGCGTTGGTCCTTTCGCACTCACAAATAAATCGTAAAGTTGAGATTTAACATTTTTTCTGATGCCATTTTCCGTAAAAAGTGACAAGTAATTAAAGTGTAAATTTTACTAAATAGCTCAAAATTGTACATAGTGATTAAAAAAAAAAAAATTTCGGATTCGAGTTTTTTCTTTTCTTTGCATTTTCTAACAACATTTACCATAGTAACGTATATATTTTTTTACATTATCAGAAAGAAGAGATTTCAACGAACAAAAAACTCCTTGACTTTTTTTAAAAAGCTGATATTTTGACGCAAGAATTTTCGATTGAAAATTAGGGTGTTTTTTCGATATTAAGTCAAAATAAGGTGAAAAAATAAATATTTCTAATCAAAAAAATTACAGTGTCTTTAGGACATTAAAAGGTAAGTTTTCACCAAATTTCGTGAAAAAAAATTTTTTTTTGCATAAGATAAAAATAAAAACCAAAAACTTGATTATTTGAATTTTTCACATAAATTTTGAGGTTATGTAAAAAAAGTGTAATTACAAAAGTTGTAGGTCTCTTTATTACCTACAACTTTGTCATTTAATTTTTTTCCATAGGACTTGTAGTTTTGCCGGAAATTGAGATACACCGTTTTTTACCCTTAAAAACTCACCCCCTTTCACTTCCCGACCTCAGATCGCCCGTAAATTATTTAACCTTTAATTTTTGTTATAATCTCGTCCTTTTTTAACGGGTTTCATCCTACTATAATTTTTTTTTCACTTTTTACCATTTTCAAAATTATCGACCCTGATCTATAAAGAAGAAAATGAACGACATATTTTTACATTACAAAGGCTATAAATAGTAACAGAATATTATTTCCATAACTCACCCTCACTGTAAATTAATACTCCCAAATTAGCAGTTGACTAATAAAATTTGAATGTTTTATCAATAGTTTCCCCAAGAACATGTCCCATGTTTGCATGCCCTTCTTCATATTATAAATATTCTAAATAGTAATCATATATTTAGGGTTTAACTTCTGACGCGCCAGTAGTATTAGATCTAAAAAATAAAGTCAGGGTACACAGAGACTTTTTACCTATTACGATTAGAGGGTGCCGTATTAATTATTCAGTCAGATGGTTTCACGTTACTAATGCATTTAGATTGTACACCCTTGGGACCATAAAGAGCCTTGTGACGGAATATCCACGCTGTGCAGTCGAATTAAGTTGTTAGATTGAATGGGAGCCACTCGCATATCTATACATAGGCTGCCTTAATTTGGTTTTCCTAAGGGAAATGCTCCGACGTTGAACAGTTTTTTTTAACTCAATTGATTTTTACCTTCTTGCTACAATTAAGGTAGAAAGTTTTTTCTATACAGGGTGAATACTTTTTTTAAATAACTTATTCGAAAAAATCAAAAATAAGAAACTTACATTTATTTATTTATTTCAAAATGTATCCAATACGGTTGTGTCTAATTTACATAATGTGTAGAACTTTAGTCGATAAAATTAAATGTTGTTCACATTCAGTATAAGCAAACTATTAAAATTAGATAACACGCGACTTTTTGAATTAAATAAATATATTTGACAAATTATCAAAAAACTATCAAAATGACAATACAATGCGAACTAAAAAAATATAATAATACAGAGTCACAAAAATAAAGCTTGAGTTTTTCCAACACTCTCTCTCAGGATACACTCATCATACATTTTCCAGTTAAATATATTTTTTTTAATGGCACTGGATAAAACCAAAAGGCCAGACTATTGTAGTAAAACATAATTCTTTAATTGTTTTATCCACTATTGTTACATGATTACATTATTATTACTATTATTATTATTATTATTATTATTATTATTATTATTATTATTATTATTATTATTATTATTATTATTATTATTATTATTATTATTATTATTATTATTATTATTATTATTATTATTATTATTATTATTATTATTATTATTATTATTATTATTATTATTATTATTATTATTATTATTATTATTATTATTATTATTATTATTATTATTATTATTATTATTATTATTATTATTATTATTATTATTATTATTATTATTATTATTATTATTATTATTATTATTATTATTATTATTATTATTATTATTATTATTATTATTATTATTATTATTATTATTATTATTATTATTATTATTATTATTATTATTATTATTATTATTATTATTATTATTATTATTATTATTATTATTATTATTATTATTATTATTAATTATTATTATTATTATTATTATTATTATTATTATTATTATTATTATTATTATTATTATTATTATTATTATTATTATTATTATTATTATATTTTGACTTACAGCTATCAAAATACCTGAGTTTGTAATTAATTATAAAAAATATCTATTTTTTTATTATATGTATTTTTGATTATTTTTTATTTATTTTATTTTCGTTTCAGGTTTACAATATTTTTAGGGTAGCTCAGCTACTTACAATCTTGTATTAGTTTTTTTAACAAATTCATACAATATTTTATAAACTTTAACATCGTTTAATAAAAGCAGAACATCAATGTTTATTGGTAGAAGTATACCAATATTAACTAATTCTAAGTACATTGTGTCAGTATCTAGCGAATTTAGGACACACTCTAACATTATATGATTGAGATCAGCAATTTCATCACAAATTAAACATAAATTATTATCTGATAGACCAAATTTTTCCTTGTAGGCAGTATGCATAGCATGATTACTACTCATACGACAAATAACTCGGATAAAAGATCTATTTATTTCGGTTTTGAACCAGGGACACTTTGGAATATTAGGTTGAATGTTTTTGTATATCTTCCCTTTTTCTTCTTTAGAATATGCATCTTGCCAAGTTTTAAACATTGATAATTTAGATTTAGCAATAAAATCTAATTTTTATTAGTTCCCGAAACAGTAGCCTTTTTTGCTAGTATATCCACTTTCTCATTGTTACTAATACCTACATGAGATTTAATCCACGCCAACGAAATTTCTATATTCTGTTCCAAACATTGATAGTTAATCTTAAGAATTTCTGAGGCTATATAGTTGGTAGGACTGGTAACGTTCCATTTTGCAAAATATTCTATTGCACTCTTACTATCAGTAAATATAACATACTTAGATTTATTTTCTTGAAGACATACGTTAAAAGCTTCTTTTATAGCAACAAGTTCAGCATTGTATATTGTAGTGTAGTACTAGCTAGTAGTGTGCACGTGTTTTGAATTCGCTGCTACAAAATAGTAAAAGTTTACTTTAAATTTAAAGTGCAAGTTACAGAAAATGAGATATTTTATCTTTGCAAGTGTATTGTGATATATCTACTTAGGTTTTTGTAAGAACTGTGTATGAACTGAAAAACCTTTAGTTTTCAACAATATTATTAATAATAATTATAGTCTATGGGCTAATAAATAATTAACAAAAATGGGATCTGAAAATGAACTATTACAAAATATTTTAGAAGAGATTCAAAAAAGTAAAAATGAAATAAAAAGCTCTGTTGAAGCTTGTGAAACTCGTATTTTGTTGAAAATCGAAACACTAAAAAATCGAATCAGCGAAGTAGAGAAAGAAAACGAATTTCTTAAAGATAAAATAGAAACCCTGGAGCAAAACAGTAAAAAGAAAAATATAATTTTATTTGGTTTGAATACGACAAATAGTGAAAGGACTGTTTCGTACGTCTGTGAACTAATGAAAGACAAACTAGGTATTTCAATAAGAGAGGAAGACGTAAGTGACTTATATTCCTTGGGTAACTACAACGAAGCTCCGTTAAAGGTTGAACTATTGTCAGTGGTGAAAAAGAGAAACATATTGAAGAACTGTACAAAATTAAAAAACACTGGAATTGTAGTAACACACGATCTAACTCAAAAACAAAGGGAAGAAAATAAAATTTTACGTGAAAGTTTAAATCACTGCAGTACAACAACTGAAAAGAGCTATATAAAAGGAAACAAACTGCACGTTGGAAGCAAACAATATACAGTGGAAGATTTAAAAGAAAACGATTATAGCAAGAAAGAAGAAAAATCAAATAGTGCTCCACCAACCCCTATTGCTAATTTAAAGCCTGATAAAGAATTGACAATCACTCAGCCAACACTTACAGAAACACTCAAAAATAAAAATATACTATTACAGAAATCTGTAGAGCCTTGTAATAAGAAAGACGAGAAGCCAAGAGAAGGAATCAAAGTTGATAAACCACCCAACAAATCTGTTAGTGGACAAGTTGTAAGAGAAAAATATAAAACTCGATTAAATTCAAATTCTAAATAATTCTAAATAATTTTCACGAAGCCCACATACTATTTTTAAATTTCTTTGGGCTAGATTGTATTGATTTTAGTTACTATTGTATATATATTTTTATGGTGTCATTTATCATAAAATCAGATTATATTTTTGTGTATTTTAAAAAGTAAAAATGGATTCATATTTGCGCGACTTTGAGATAGATACTATTAATACTTTTATATTAGAAAAATATCATGAATGTAATACAGTTTTAGAAGTGAATAAGGCAAATCATAATTTCACGATTTTTCATAACAATATACGGAGTCTACGTAAAAATTTTGATGAATTTAAAATATTATTGCAAAAAGGTAAGTTTGATTTTGATTGTTTAGTGTTAATTGAAACCTGGTACTTAACAGACCCGAACTTTTACGATATGCCTGGATATAATTTAATATACAATCAAGGGCAACACAATCAAAATGATGGGACAATAATGTATATTAAAAATATTTTTTCATTCAAACATTCTATAATAACTAAAGGAACTATAAACTTCCTAAAAGCAGAAATTGATAACGAAAATATATTAATTACTGCTTGTTATCGATCACCATCATCTAACGCTGATGATTTCTTACAAATTTTACAAGAATATTTTGAAGAAAATCAGTCAAAAAAATACGAATACAGCATTTTTCTTGGAGATATAAATATAAACATTTTAGAAAATAATTACAATAAAACGGAGTACTTGAATATACTAAATGAATTTGGATACATATCAATGATAAACAAACCTACTGGACAAAAAACTTGTATAGACCACATTTTCCTTAAACCAAAAAAATATGAGTCAATTGATATGACCATCCCAATAATATTTAAATCAAACATTACCGATCATGATTCAATTATTCTGCAAGTCGTTTTTGAGGATGAAAGAAAAAAATCAATTATCACAAAATATAAAGAATTCATAGATTACCCTAAACTTATAGAATTATTTAAGAACAATTCGTGGAACTCCATTTTCACACTAGAGGACCCAAATAATGCAGCAAATAATTTTATTACGGAAATTAAAACAATGATAAAATATTGCACTACAAAAAACTAATTAATTAATAAAAAGAATAAAATGTATAAAAAAACGATTTTACATCCTGAAAATATTTTATTAAAAGACGAATATACGTCATTCAAAAATAAACTTACAAATCAATTAAAGAGAACTAAACAAAATTATTATAAAAAACAACTTGAAAAAAATAAAAATAATTCAAAATATTTGTGGAACACGGTACAAGGACTTTGCGGAAGGAAAACTAAAAAATGTAATATTGAAAAAATTATTAACGACACTGGAGTTTTATTAACTACTAACATGCAGATAGCTAACGAATTTAATAAACAATTTGTCAACTTTGGGAAAACACTTGCAGAAAAAATTGAAAAAGACGCTAAGTATAAATGCAAATCAAACACTTTATCTAACTCAATGCTACTAACACCTACAAATCCTAAGGAAATATTTAATCTCATTAATGTTTTAAAAAATAATAAATCTCCAGGATCTGATGAAATTAAATCAGAGCTTTTAAAAAAAAGTATCCTATCATATCTCAGATCCATTAGCTTACATAATAAATAAAAGTATTGAAAAGGGAATATGGCCTGATGCATTCAAAAGCTCTATTGTAATACCTGTTTATAAAAATGGAGATAAAACATCTGTTGGTAATTATAGACCAATATCATTGATTAGTCATCTGGCTAAAGTTTTTGAAAAACTTATAAAAAATAGGCTATCATCATTCATAAATCGATATAATCTTTTGTCAAATAAACAATATGGATTCAAAGAAAAGACCTCAACTGTGGACGCTATTTTAAATTTAACAAAAAATATATACAAATCGCTGGAAAATGGGAAACCTTGCTTATGCCTATTTATAGATTTAAGTAAGGCTTTTGACACGGTAAGTCATCCGTTGTTAATCCAAACCCTAGAAGATGTGGGGATCAGGGGAAACGTTCTAACTCTTTTTAAAAGTTATCTATGTACAAGAAACCAAGTTGTAAAAGTAGGGGATAACATAAGCGAAGAGGCATCTATTGAATATGGTGTACCACAGGGCACAGTCCTAGGGCCTATTTTGTTTAATCTGTATGTGAACGAGCTGTTTCGCTTAGATACAACTGGTGAAATCATAGGATACGCAGATGATACTGCCATTTTTTATGAAGCAGACACTTGGCAACAACTCAAAACAAAAGTAGAAACCGACATTAAGGCAATAAAAAAATGGTTCGACCATAAGCTCTTAACAATGAATTTAAATAAGACCAAATTTTTACCTTTTAGTTGTAACGCCAGCGGAATAACAGACTTTCAACAAATTAACATTGAAATTAATGGAAAAAATTTTGGCATTAAATCGGTTGTCGAAATGAAATATTTGGGGATATATTTGGATTGTCACTTAAGGTGGGATAAACATATTAATCAGGTAGTAAAAAAATTGCAGCAAATTATTTACACTTTTAAACATCTAAAAGAGTTCTTACCTATTAAATATCTAAAACAACTTTATCTCGCTCTTGTTGAAAGCCATCTTAGGTATGGAATTCCGATATGGGGCGCAGCTGCACGTACCTATATAAATACCCTCGAAACTATCCAAAAACGAATTATAAAAATAATCGTGTCAAAACCCTCTAGGTATCCGACTGATGAATTATATAAAATATCGGATATAATGGATTTGAGACAACTGTTCTATTACAATACATGCATTAAATACCATTCTAGTGATGATAAAGCACCTCATCCAGATCATCAGTACTACACCAGGCATCGAGAATTACTTACACACCCATTGGTAAAGAAATCATTCTCACAGAAAGCCTATTCATACATTGCCACTAAAATGTACAATACTATCCCCAAAACTACCAAAATGATACAAAACACAAGTATATTCAAAAAACACTTAAGAACGTTTTTACAAAAGACTCCAAGATCCTTTTTTAATGCCTTAATAGATGAATTATAAAAATAATTTTAATTGAATCCATTTTTAGCACTCTTTTACTAAATATGTATTATATTTTATTTTTTATTGTATACTTATTCTAGTTATTAGTGTAAATTTTAAATTGTAAATCTAATTTTAGCTATTAATATTACTATCATTATTATTATTTTTTATTATTATTTTTATTTTTTATTAATTACTAATATTTTTAAATATAAATTTTAATCATATTTTCTATTATCGAAACAAGTACATCAGTACTTATCGATACTCTAACTTTATTTATATTTTGTATACACGTTTTTTTTTTCTTTATTTTATTGTACTCCATTTATAAATAAAGTTTCTATTATTATTATTATTATTATTATTATTATTATTATTACATTGTACTGGGAAGTTTAAATGAAATTTCATAATTTTTGTTAGGATACAAAATTACACATCCTAATTGGTTCCCAATTTTAGATCCGTCCGTATATATGTTTTCTAATGTATTCCATTTTTTTATTAAATCTTCTTTAAATGCGTTTTTAATCACTAGAGGGCTTTCATTCAGTAGATTTTTGTTTATATATGTTTTCAATGGCGTTGTTAAAGCTGAAAAATGTAAGGACCATAGTGGAATTTTATTTTGTTGATGGAGGTCTGGAATCATTTCAATGGTAGATAAAAAAAGTCTTTACTAGTAAAGGTAGTTTTTCTTTGACCAATACTTTCCAGTTAAACACAGAGAAGATAAATTGGATAAAAGGACGAGAAGAACCGAATTTTTCGACCTTTGATTTATTAAAAACTTTTCGGATAAAAATGTTCTTCTAAAATTGAGAGGAGGTTCTGTAATTTCTGATTCTACTACATTAATTAGAGTATTTGGGAGAAAACCTATACTTAATCCAAGACATTTGTATTTTATTCTGTCCAAATTTTGCAAACGAGTATTTGATGTATCATTGTATAATATTGCACCATAGTCAAAAATTGATCTAATTAGCACTCTATAAAAAAGAATTGCTATGTAGGGGCCGAGAATAACGATCAAGGAGAAGCGACAGTAGCTGTCGGTGCCTTTGATATCGGATGTACCTTTTTCACAGCATGACTTTGATTGATACACAACTTAGCACGCTGAGAAAACATGCTTATTTTCTACACTGAGCGAAATAGTTTGGCAAATTATCTGAAATTATTGTTATAGTCCATGCGCAAATGTTGCAATGTGATTTAATAACATTGAAGTAGTGGGTTAATAGCAATGGTGAAATTTCGGCACCAAAATATAATTCATTATGTAATAATTAATTATTTGTTATAAAAGTAAAAGACATTTATTATTTTATAATTTATCTATAAAATTTGTTTAATATTTGGTTTATTTATTGTTAAAAATGTAATAAAAGGCCCATATTTAAATTACCTTTTCCTTAAGTAAAAATAAGGTAAATAAAATTAAGGGTGCCAAAAAAAATTTAGGTAACAATTAAAAAGACATTAAGTTTGAGAGGTTTAACTAAATATTTGCAATGTGCATATATTTTCAAAGCTTTTAGGTTTAAAAAGTACTTACATATTTCTAGATTTATATTATATTAAAAGGACTTTCAAGTTTATCGCTCATTTCTGTAGAAACAAGTGTTTTCTCGCCAAGTTAAACCAGATGTCATTTAAGGTTTATGTATTTAGAGTTAAAAACCTGGCCTGGCTATCACCCAGACAATACAAATATGTCCATTGGACAGACGTCCAAAAATGAGTTTTCTGGACTTCCGACATCCAATGGACGTCCAGTGAAGTATACAAATGGCACACTTTTGACCATTCAGAGGACGTCCAATTCTGGAATATATTTGGACGTCGAATACTGGACATTCAAAAAACGTCCAGGATTATATTTCCATTGAGACCACATCCCCACTTTTTTACAGAACCGCAACTTACCACACACTATTTTATATTATTAATAATTTGTTTATTATTTACCTAATATTTATGCATGTG